GCCAATGCCATCTAGTTAGGAGGGCAATGTTCATGCGTTTGGATGACATAATCTTGAGGCCACCTTGATCGCGAGGCTTACAGATCTCAGTCCACTCTTTTCCCCTCTTCTTTTTTAATGCATGATACACAAGCGTGTGCGTATTCTTAAAGAAAGAAATTTAATCTGCATCCTCACCGGAGCATCCCATAGTGTAATTTGCAGGGATTTCAAAAGGAGATAATATTTTCCAAACCCACGGTTAGTTTTTGCCTCCATAAATGCATCAGCACCAGATATACTGTTCTCCGTAGCAGGGCAGGGATAGGTGTGAGGATTATTTGGACCATATTGTCTGGAATCACCTTCCAGATGAAAATATGAGCCCCACTTATGTGTGCCTTAATTGCTGTACATGTACTTGACAGTGAACTTTGAAATAACAAAAATGTTGACCCCAGCGATCAAAAATATGTTATTATGCTCCTGAGTCTGACTATATTTCCGCGTATTGGCCAGGTGAGAGAGGAAGAATGGCTGTGCCCTGCAGCCGCTTCAGTTTGTGATCATTCCAACAGTGTCAGCAGCTAGAGCTCCAGCGGGCCGCAAGCTGCAACCAGCCTAATCATGTTCGAAATGCAAGCAGAAGCAGTGACGCGCTCATCGCTCGTTTGATTACTTTTTTGAATAATGCAACAATTTGCCCGCGTCTCCGCGATATGCGCCATGTGCCCCTCGCCTGATGCATGGGCGCCCAAATGACAGGTCCACGAGGAGTTCCACGCCTTCCACTACCCCAACGCGCAGGCCTCGTCGCTCCTCTCCTCTCCACCGCCACGCCCAAAGTCACATTTGCCCATCTCTTTTTTTATGCCAAGCACGTAGCTGGAGCCTCGATGGACCTGATTGAGTTTGACGACACGAGGGATATAGCCAGCCAGCCATAAGTCAGAAGAAAGAGGAGGGGAGAAGAGGAGAGAGCTACAGCCTAGAGCTTTGCTTCCACGCCATGGGTAACTGCTTCGGCTCCGAAGAGGCCGACGTGGAGGCTGTCAAGGCAGTGGCGCATCATGCACATGCCAGAGGTATCGCCATGTTTCTCAATTGATCTTGTTCTACCTTGATTCCTTGATTCACCGTGTACTTTGGTCGATATTTACAACTTCTGACGCTTATGCAATCTGTGCTCATTCTACTCTCGCAGCAGCGATGGCGAGGCCCGGCATGGTCGCGCCCCAGCCCAATGCACACGCAGCGGCAGCAATGAGCTCCCCGGGGCAGCCTCGGAAGTCGCCGAGCGCGCCCACGACCTCCGGCAGCGGCAGCGGAAGCAGCCGTCCGGTGGCTGCAGGCGCCACGAATGGCGGCAGCGAGGCCAGCCCCAGCCGGGAGGGGAGGATCCTGGAGGCGCCCAACCTCCGGATCTTCACGTTCGCGGAGCTCAAGGCCGCCACGCGGAACTTCAAGTCGGACACTCTCCTCGGCGAGGGCGGGTTCGGGCGGGTGCACAAGGGCTGGGTCGACGAGAAGACCATGAGCCCGGCCAGGAGCGGCGCCGGCATGCCCGTCGCCGTCAAGAAGCTCAACCCCGAGAGCCTGCAGGGCGTCCAAGAATGGCAGGTGAATGAAGCTACGTGGCTTTTGGTCAACCCGAACCATGTTCTGAGTCATCGACGTATTCACGTGGGCTGCGCATAGCATTGCATAATTCCCAACCGAAATGTGCGTGTGTGCCATCCATGATTATGCATGTTGAGTGATTGGCACGCACGTTGGCATGATGCCATTGGAGTTGCTGATTCGTGGCGGAATTGGTGTTGCAGTCGGAGGTGAATTTCCTGGGAAGGCTCATCCATCCCAACCTGGTGAGGCTGCTGGGGTACTGCTGGGAGGACAAGGAGCTCCTGCTTGTCTACGAGTACATGGCCAAGGGCAACCTCGAGGATCACCTCTTCAGAAGCGAGCCACGGAGTAAGTCCCGGCACATACATATCAACTGATTAGAGACGCAGACGGGGATAGCTAACACGACTAGCATTGTGCTCACCACCACCAGAAGGCGCGGGCGCGTTTCAGCCGCTGTCGTGGAGCCTCCGGCTGCGCGTGGCGATCGACGCGGCGCGCGGGCTGGCGTTCCTGCACTCCTCGGAGAAGCACGTCATCTACCGGGACTTCAAGGCCTCCAACATCCTCCTCGACACGGTACGTGCCGTGCGAGCAGCGCGCCGCCGCTCGCCGGCGACCCTTCACGTTCCGCATGCACCGGTCACACGCGCGCGCGCATCGCGCACGTCTAACCTAACCCTCCTCTCCCGCGCTCCGCATGCAGCAATTCCACGCGAAGCTCTCGGACTTCGGGCTGGCCAAGGACGGGCCGGCGGGCGGCAGCAGCCACGTGACCACCCGGGTGATGGGCACCTACGGCTACGCGGCGCCGGAGTACGTGGCGACGGGGCACCTGTACGTGAAGAGCGACGTGTACGGCTTCGGCGTGGTGCTGCTGGAGGTGCTGACGGGCCTGCGCGCGCTGGACACGGACCGGCCCAGCGGCCAGCACAGCCTGGTGGACTGGGCCAAGCCGCACCTGGCGGACCGCCGCAAGCTGGCGCGCCTCATGGACCCGCGCCTCGAGGGCCAGTACTCGTCCAGGGGCGCGCAGCGGGCGGCGCAGCTCACGCTGCGCTGCCTCGCCGCCGACCACACCAACCGCCCGTCCATGAAGGAGGTCGTCGCCGTGCTCCAGGAGGTCGAGTCCATGTCCAGGGGCGGCTCCGTCGGCTCGGCGTCGCCGCGACCGAACAACGCGCGGGGTGGACACGGTCACGGACAGTCGCCACGGCCAGGGTACATGTCGGAACGGGCCAGCCCGGCCGGCAGCCAGCACCCGTCTCCTCGAGTGAGGTAGCGACTGAAATTGTGCTGCGGCACTTGGATTTGCACGTGCCCCGTGATAATGATGTTGCTGCATCTGTCTTCTGAGCATGTTATTTTCATGTGTCATACATATGAATGTGCGGTAATCTATAGGTTGGCATGTTCGTATCGGAACTCAACTAGCACATCGTCAGCCAAAAAACGATCCACCCTGGAAGCCAGTTCAAATTTTGTCGCGAATGCCAGAGATCACACGGAGTTGCCTTTGCGGAATAAGGAAATCATGATCAACTTGCAGCCCTCACATTCTATTAGAGCATCTCCACTAAATCCTCTAAATAAGAATTCAGACACTTTTTGCGCAGCTGCTAAAGCAGATTGTCTAAAACCTGCCCCCATTTTTTTTTTCCTATTTCTCTTCCTTCAGTGCATGGAGTACAACTTATTTGAACTCATGTTTGCATCACGATTATTAAAACATTTGTGTATTCACGGCATACAATTCAATAACATTTCAAGTCCATAATTCCAGTATAACATATAATCCAAATGAACGGAATGATGTATCGGTGAATCATGAAGACAAAGAACATTATGGAATAAAACTCTTTACCCTCGCAAAAATAAAATGAACAAACTATTGCCCACGGAGCTGCAACGTATGCTCAACTAGGTCATCTCAAAATTGCTCTGCTTAGTCTTCTATCTTTGGAGGCACTTCAATAGATGTGTAGGTTTGGTGCTGATGTCGCTCTGGTATCATGGTTGTCCCCACACGATCATACTCAAAATCCCTCTTTGATCTCACATGATGTCATCGTTTGCCAAAATGTGTTTTGATCCAAAAATCTAGCAAGTACATGAACAACCACAAAGCGATTTGCAATATCCCAAATGCTCTCTCAACATCCTTCCAGGCTGATTGAACCTTGTTGAAATGAATTCTCTTCTCATCTTGTGGGTTAGAAATTTCTTCACAATTTCAAACCACAAGGGATATATGCCATCATCAAAGATAGTAGTCCACTGGGTATTGGTGACCATTGACTATAAAGTTCACCACTAGAGCATCACCATCGATATTGATGTCATTGTGCGACCAAGGTTTCCCAACGTATGAGTGCCAAATTTACAAATCTTGAGAAAGCAACAGCTTCAAGGATGATGTTTGGATTTGGTGCAACACTTTTGAATATTTGATATCGGGGGCAATGTTTTTCCTCCAAGACCAAGTGCACATGCTCACAGTAAAAATAATGTTCTTTTAATAACATACCTGATTTTACAACAAACATGATTGTGTCTTCTAAATGCGAGTTTTTTCTCTCTGAAAAAACAACATATGTTGTGGAAAAAGAAAAAAAACTATGCTCTAAAAGCTTTTTTACATTACAACATATGCCATTTCTTCACAAAACATAACACACACGTACAAACACATGAACATGTTTTTGTTGACATTTTTTTACTATTTTCTGAATTTAGTGCTCATCCCGGAGCATGTGAGCCTAAGCTCTATTTTGAATACCAGATCTGGTGCCGCCATTTATGAGTTTGTTCGACTGCAACATCTAACCCATTGTCCAAAAAAAACCTCTCCTAACCTTATTTACTAACCCACATAGATTTTATTTTTTTTATGAAAAAGCAATTACCCCAACCTCTGCATCACATGATGCACACAGCCAAGCACACATAGATTGGACACAATTGACAATTTCAACATAATTCACGCTAAGACTCGACATGTACAGAACAATACGACCCATGAGCAGATCATGCCACTATTGCACATTCAAACATTCAGTTATAATATAGAGGCCAAAAAGCAATTGCAGCAGCCAAAAAAAATTCCAAGGGATTCAATGCGCTGAATATTGCACAGTACATGCCCATGACACAAAAAACTAGCACTTGCCCATATTTACCTGCTACTTCAACAGCTGTTCTATTCTGATGGACCAACGGTTGCCTGCGCAAATCTCGGTCGGCTACTAAGACTCAGAAGTCAGAATTTCTCCACAAAAACTAAAATCCGTCAGAAGCATTCGCCCAGCACATTCAGCACCGATGCCACCTGATGAGGAGATGATGATTATATTCCACAAGCTTTGTTTGTTGGCTCTAGGGTCAGATGCAAAATCAGGCTATGAAGCTTTAACACTCTCTCTGGACAGCATTTCTTCTTCAGCATGTCTCAGAGTCTCCCGGAAAGCTTGCAGCGAACTGGACGCGAAGCTCTCCAAGGACTGAAGCACCCGGCTCAAGCTCACCTGCAGGCTGTCTGCCTCAAGAAAATGCGCCTGGTACGTTTGCGCCGTCGGAAGCAGGCTCTGCCGGCCCGGCACCAGGGCCAGCTTCCTGTTCAGTGTGTCTGCCTCCCTGTTAATCTCCACGGACTTCCTCTCCAGAATCCTGTTCCACTTCTCTCTTTCCCGGGTCACGAAGATCAGCTCGCTTGGCTCAACGGCGGCTCTGTGCTCGCACTGGTTGCGCACGCTGGACACGAGGGCCTGCATGGCGGTGACCACTTCCTTCTCGGAAATCCGATCCATGGCCTGCGACCAGGTGTTGCAGATGACGAACACGAGAGGCGCGCCCACCCTTCCGGGAGAGTAGGGAGGAGCTCCGTCGGGCGTCTCCTCCTGCTGATAGTTGAGGCACAGCGCCAGCCACCCGTTCAGTGCCTTCACGAAGCTCCTTTGCGCGTTTACCCAAGAGCAGAAATTCACAATCCATTTAACCAGGTCCACTTCAAGCTCCATTGCTAGATCCCGACTGATCCCGCCGGAGATGGTCGAATCCAGGTTCTTCGCCTCCGATATTGCTTCACACTGAGTCTGGTAGCAGTCCAGCTTTTCTTGCCACATCTTTACAAACCTGCAAAGAGGGATTTGTCAGTATTTTGATGCAAGCTAGGTTCTGTGGGATAAGAAATGCAAGATTGCAAAGAAAGAAACCGAGAGTGTTCAGGAAAGTTCACCTAGGGTAAATGCATGTAGGGATATTGATTACTCGAAAACATGAGTTTTTTTTTACAAAAAAAAAACATACATGTGCACTGTAAATGCAGGACTGTAGAGTTAGCCTCTACACAATATGTAAAAATTTCCAGGCAGCTGCACTGAAACTTAATAACCTACTGGACTGAGAATGTTACTCCCTCCGTCCCACAATATAAGCCGGAGGGAGTACTTCCTAATACTAGAAGATTGTACAAACTAGACAAGCAGACAACCAGTGTAAAGGCGGAAGTAGTGTACCGACAGGGAACTAATTGAAATATGTACCTAAGATGTCAAGGCAAAAAATTAGAGCGTACCCTTGGATTAAGGCCATAATTTGTGGGCACAATTCCTCATCCCTAACTCTGTTTATCTTTTTTGAAACCTTAGCAATAACTCGCACAGCCATTCTTATTTTTGCCGACAGCTTCCTGACCAAATTTTGAGTCGCCTCGATCTTCTGAGCTTCAGCACCCTTTTGGTCCAAGAACTTCAGCCGCTTGGAGTTCTTGGCTAGCAGGAGGCGCATTTTTTCTTCAGACTGGAAGAGGAAAACATAAAAAAAAAAATCAGATGTAGCACAGTAGTTAACACGGGTGCATATGAGAAAAATAATCTCAGTTTAAAAGAAAAAACACGTCCCACATTATTGAAACTAGTGCTGCATAAGAGATTTCCATACTAAAATGATCATCTGTTTACTAAGGAGCCAACAACATAGTTTAAATGAAATCTAATATTGTTATGCATAAGAAACCTAGTAAAAAGGTATCCGTGTGTAGCATCATTTTTTTTTTTGCATGGGTTAGTGTAGCATCCTTTCAAATGAAACTAAACATCAGAAGAGAAACCCACAAACTCAAAAGTACATCTAATACCATTACAGAAGTGTCTAAATTACTTTAAATATGGCACATAAATTTAAATATTCCTAATCTGGCTATTTGGTCTCCAGAAAGGAGCTTTTACACGATATTACTAAGACCTTTTCCTAAAGAAGCAGAACACCTGGCATTCCATTGATCTCAGCCTTGCCATGCCAGGATCAACATTTCATCTTACTGCATAGCAGCCTATAGGCACCAGCTTACGGATGTTGTCATTGCGCAAAGATGGCACTACGAAAGGATGACACTCTGCTTTCAGTAAATATTTGTCACCAGTAGTATTTAGTAGGAGTCGAACAAAAACAATTGCACCCTACATATCAGTTAACTTGAGAAAGTACTCCAACATACCTACGAGCAGTTACTAACATATCATTCCAGCACAGAGTAAATTCAGGTATTACTTCAACAGAATCGGAGGTGAATACATACCTTAACCTCATTATATAATTTCTTCTCCCAGATATAGAGTTTCTGCAGGGTGACCGATAAGCTCCTCCCCCCTTCAGCCACCTTCTTCCAACCTCCAACATCCAACTCTTCACCTCCGTACGCTGAATTTGGTAATGCAGCCGTCGACACCATCCGAGACGAAACTATTTCGAAATACCAATAAATCGATCAGTGACACCAAGAATCGACGACATCAAAGTATATCAGAGTATATATACGCCACAGTGTATATCAGAAAATATGCCAGTTCTAGAAGCAACAAATAGTTCGCCATAACATCAATGAAACTAAACTAATCAGAGTACATGCATGAACTCACCATGGTACACTGAGCTGCGGGGGTGGTATTGGTAACTCCGCCTGTCCACCTCCAGGATCGGTGCGACCGCCCAGACTGCATCCGCCGCTCGAACAAACTGCGCCTTGATCTCCCCGGCGAAGTCTGCACTCTCCGATGACTTCCGGTGAGTCCGCACGGAGGCTGAGACATTAGGCTGCGCTGGCGCATGTTGCCGCGCCATGCCACCTCCGGAGAGCACTCCCTTATCGACAACACAATTCTCCTCTTCGCTGCTGCTCATGCCGCCGACCGAGCTGCGTCGGCTGCGAGCACCGCCACTCCCGGTCATATAGTGCTCGCTGGACACCTCCTTGACGACCGCGTCGTCCTCCTCGAGCTCCGGGATGCCCTCCTCCTCCCGCACGTCCCGCGAGCACCGGCTCGGCGTGTACGGTGTCGTCGCCGTGGTCCCGGCGCCGGCAGCATCGTAACAGTAGTTGTCGTGCACTTGGTAGTCGTCGAACACATTGAAGAAGTCCCACGAGCTCGCCCTCGGCGGCGACGGCGGGGGAGCAGGCGCCTTACCTGCCGGCGTGGCCTCTCCTCCGTACGAGTAATACCGCGCGTTCCCGCCCGCCGGGTCGGAGGAGCCGAAGTAGACGCGCTCCGACGCGGGCGCGCGCTGCTCGACGGCGACCGAGGCCGGAGGCGGGCGGCTCCGCGCGTAGTAGAGCTGCAGCGACCCCGGCGGGTACCCGAACGGTGGCTCGGGCTCGTAGCCGTACCCGTACCCGTACCCGTAATGCGGGAACAGCAGCGCGTGCGGGTGCGGGAGCGCGTGGTGGAGTTGGTCGTGGACGCGGCGGGGAGGCGAGGAGGCGACGGAGCCGGAGTCGGATCCGGAGGAGGGCGCGAAGTCGATGTGCGAGGAGGAGTGCGGGGGCGAGGAGGGCTGCGGCGCCGCTGGCGGGGGGTCGACGGCCTTGGCATTGGCGGCGACGGGGAGCGTGATCCCCGTGCGCGGGCGGGCGGAGGCGGAGACGAGGAGGAGGTGGAGCGAGGAGGAGACGGAGAGGAGCGAGCCGGCGAGCGCGGCGTGCGCGGCCCCGAGCGCGTCGCGGTGGCGGACGGCGACCGCGAGCAGGTCGGCCCGGCCGCGGCACAGCGCCACCGCCTCCTGCTCGTCCAGCTTGGACCCCTTGCACCCCATCGCCGGCGCGTCCTTGTTACCTCGGTTGTTCGCTAGTGCAACTGCCAATCACCACAGGCAGGAACGATCGATCGGCCCCGGGGCCGGGCTTATAAGCGGCCGTGTCGTCCCGCCACGATGATGACACCGACGGACCTGGGGGGTTGATGGGGAAATGGTATCGAGGCGTGCGGAGAGGAGGCGAGGACTGTGTGTGTAGTGGAGGCGGAGGTGGGGGTGGGGGTGGGAATCTGCTCTTGCCGTTTTGCTTGGGGAAATTTGTTTGCACTCGCTCCACTCGCCCCTTCCTTCTTTTTCCGGGCTCGATTTGGCAGGGGCAGGGGTGCTGCTGCGCCCCTTGTTTTCTTGCGGTGGGGGAAAAGGCCAGTCGAGGGCAGCACCACCAGGCCGTCATGTTATTTTCGGCTCTCTCCATTTAACCAGTTTTGTTTGTTTCCTTTTGGAAGCGAGGCGAGGACTGCTGCGGCTGCTGCTGCGTCTGGCGCGCCATGGAGTTGCGCGCAGGCTTTGGCTTCGGCCTGGTGGCATGGCGCAGGCAGGCATTGACGCCCGGCTTGAAGGCCGCGGTACGGCCTTGACCGGTCTCCATCCATCTCCATCACCGGATCAACGCCAACTGCCCTGCCCTGCTCTGCTCTGGCGAGAGGATACGCTGCGGTGGCGCGCTGCTGTTTTCCCTGCTGGGGGCTGCCGTGCCGCGCTAGGCTTAAGGTTTTCGCATTGCCATTGCATTTTTTTTCTTTTTTCTTTTGTTGGGAAAGGCCGAAAGGGTACTGGAGTGCCCATCGATTACTGTTAGTAGGGTGTGCAGGACTCTGCAAAATCTCAGCCGAGTAAAAGAGCAAACGTACCGCTGCCCGAATGAGATGATGATCATGTACCGCCCCGGCGACAGGCCGTCTTTTGCTTTGCCTTTTCTTCCCCTCTTTGCAGCCCATGCCACATTGTTGACGCTTCTTCCACGATAAGGCTTTCGCTATTTTCAGGATGGAACATGCACCTGATATAATATGCCTCACGCTTCAACTAGGCACGCAAATTAGTCAGAAAGAAATTACTGAGCCAAACAAAGCGGATGTTTAGAATAAGTCCATGTTATCATATCTTGTGGCATTGTTATGCTTTCAACTTCCAAAGTGTCACCCGTAAAAAAAAGACTTCCAAACTGTTGTTCTGATACCGAGCTCATGTGAGCTCGGGTAAACAGTAAAATCAAAAGATACGAAAAGGTAAAAAAAAATCTGATTTTTCTTTTTGTCAAACATTAACAAATGTTTTGATAGCTTGCAAAATTTCATCCTGAAATGATGTTCATGGAACACGTGGCAAATAAAAAAAATATCGATACTCCAAAATGGGTTTGAATAGTAACATTTTGTGGCATCGGCTTTTTTGCCACGTTTCCGCGAATGTCATCTGGTGGTGAAATTTTGCGAGCTATCAAAATTTTTAAATATATTTTTTAAAATTTTAATGTTCACCTGAGCTTAGAACATCTGCATCCTTTCAACTTTGACTACATTGCTTGGACTCAAGTGCATTATAGAAGGAGGTCAACGATCTAAGCTCATGAAGAAACAAAGTTGCAGAGACGGGCAAGTAAATCATATGCTTTTAGCATTTGCCTCTGGTCTTTTGTTATTTGAGCACCATCCTCAAAGAGTAACATGACAATCGGCGTACAAACTTGTTGGATAAAATAGCAAAAAAATTATTGAATTAATTAAAATATATATGAAATGGCATTGATAGTATTAATCATGTACTGGTATTTGACCATGCAAACATGTACTATGCATATAGCTGAAGCATCTATGTAAACAACAAGTATGACTAACACAGGAATAAATAGGAGAGGATAAATGAATTATACCCACCGGTCGGCCAGGTTGCGAGGAATATAGTTGAACTTTTCTTTGGTCGCTGATTTGCCTTGGAATTCTGGGACTTTGTCTGACCTGCACGAAGAAGAGGCATCTAAATTATGGGATATATGGAAATTGTTTAACAATAGACTATTGGCCACGAAATTGCCATTTTGGGATGTGGTGCATTTGGAAAGTATGTAATTGCAAAATCTTTGATGGAAATTTCATATTGGAAGCACCTACAGTAGGATTGAATCTTGGAGGGTTAAAAAATTGTTGCATGGTTAATTATTATGGTAAAGTGTATCAATTCCCTTGAACTCATAAGTTTATTCCATGTGGCCGAATGATTACCCTAATCCTCAAGCTTATTATTTTATGTAATAGTCGATGTTAAAATTTTAGCATATATTTCTGCATCAACGCGCAGAGAATCATCTAGTTTGTTTTCATCACCAAACTTTCTATCTTGAAGATTTAGGACTCCTTGGTGGTAGGATTAAAGCCCCGGAAGCTGCTTATTGTGTGGTGTGCTCCGGGATGTTTGTAAATTCCCGGTTGCCTTCGAGACCAACCACGAGTGATTTGAGACTCATCCATTGGTTTACTTAAAGGGAGACTAGGGTGAGCCACCTGGGGTGCTCCGGAGCTTAACAAAGATTAGCACTCCCCAATGACTGTGAACTTCGGGATACATCTGTGTCTTTGACTTGTGTGATTAATCCGTTTACGTACCTTTACTTATGCTTGCTTGCTATTGTTGCTCTTGCTTATTTACTTTACTATCTTACTTCCCACGTAGGTTGTTCCCACCATAGATTGCATATCTAGAGAGCTTACTTTATCTTCATCTACCCTAAAATTTGGAAGCTAGGCTACCACTTTGTAGTCTCATATTCACCCCCACCCTCTAGTCGGCCGATTTAATTCTTTCCGATGCATACGTTGATTTAGTTTGAAGTCATCCCACATTCACCCAATATCATTCATGAAATGTTTCTAAATATATAACTTGATGAAATAGTTAGTCCATAGGAATGTCATTATTTACTAAATCTCAATATGTATCTTAATTTTGATGGCATTCATCCTCAAATCAACCAATATTCTTCATGCATCACCTATGGAATCTTCATATACAACTCAATGGCATCGTTAGTCCATAGGAATTGTCAATTACTACAAAAATCACACTTCAGAGTAACAACTTTCCATGATCTTCACAGAAGACCTTTGTATGTAGCTCATTAACATTATAGTGAACTACATCAACGGCTCATAAACTTTGATCTTGTGGTTTTTTGGTCCAGAAACTCTCAAAACCACTATTTTGGTCCCTACACTTGAGTTTGTGCTCCATTTTGATCCAAATCACATTCTCTTGGTAATTTTGGCATGCATGGATTTGGACAATGGTTTGCTTTGTAGACGTGGTATCCACGTGACAGGCGGCGCACATGGTCCTAGCATGTGACCATCTAGTAGCCTTGTCTTTGTTTAGCCTTCGATGTTTTTCAATGTTGTATATGCATTTACCACCTAATCTTCCATCATGGACACCAAAGGGAAAGAAGGGGGTGAAATGGTAAACTATCGGCGGTGGTGATCGATCGCTTTTTGTAGTAAGTGAATTCTAGTGATGTGTGGTAAAGAGTGTGGAAAATCGGCCACTCGCTACGATTGTCACCTACATGTTGAGTTTTCTCCCACCTCTATGCCGCTCGAGTGTCGATAAGATAATCAAGGGAGTAAAGTCACAATTGGGTCAAAGACTTGGGCCATATAAGCACTCGCAATGTCTTCTTTGTGTTAGTCCATGAAACAAGGGTTTCTGGTTCTAGCTCTATGGACTTTATGTAAATGTGTTACTAACCGAGGTGTTTTTCTTTTCTTTTTATTGAATGTAAAACCGTAAATGCCAATAATAATCTCTTCAATGTAGAGTTGTCTGGTAGATTTAATGGTGACGTTTGATCTAGTTGATCCTATCTAGATGGAGCACAGACCTAAGTGCATGCTCAATGGCTCTTTGTCTCTCTTTATATAAGCAAATGATTTAGGTTTATTGATTAACTTAAATAGAATAAACCAAATGAAAGAGACAAAACAAACACAAGCAATAGAAATCCATGGTAAAATTAGAGGTTGCAGCAAGGTAATTCAAAGTATTGCTTCTAACTTCACATTTTACATCTTGATCTTCAAGTGCGATTCAGGAGAAGAAACCATAGATGTCCTAACATGCACATAGTAGACTAATTGTAATGGTTTCAAAATGCTACATGAGCCCCCTCTTGAAGTAGCCCCAGATACAGATTAATATTATATCTCGGTTGTTTCAGCCCTTGAATCAGCATGCTCATGTGTATGTACTTCGACTTCATGCACACCCAGGGGGGATATTGTACATCCAAAAAAACACGGGTCATGTGCTATGGTTGGTGTTTTGGTTGCCAAACGGATTCATGCCATTGGTACACGTGTCAAGCACGATGTTCCTTGCATCACATGCGAAATATCGATATTCTCCATTGAATGCTCTCCACTGCCTTGCATCTGCGAGGTGTCTCAGCTTTGGATCATCTACATCATCGGGCTTTGTCCTCTCCGCGTGCCAACGCATGAGCTTTGCTTCCTTGGGATCTACAAAATAATGTTGTACACGGGGAGTGATCGGTAAGTACCTTACAACTTTCTGGGGAGATTTATTTCTGACCTTCTTGTATCGAGAAGCATTGCACACAGGACAACTGGTTTTTTTCGCGTGCTCCTTCCGATAAAATATGCAATCATTGATGCATGCATGGTATCTAACGTGCGGCAGATCAAGAGGGAACACGATCTTCTTGGCCTCATCCACACTAGTGGGAGATAGTTCCCCGCGGGAAGAACATCCTTTAGGTACTTGAGAAGCTCATCGAGGCTAGTGTCAGTCCATTCGTTTTTAGCCTTCGTCTTCAGAAGTTCGAGCGTAAAACTCAAGCGGGTCACCTCGGGATCGCAACCATCATACAATGGAGTGTTCGAGTCTACCATCGATCGCTCCATCTTGGCCTCTTCTTGTAAGTGCATCTAGTGCCACCCCTAGTTGGTTTTGGAGTATTGACGACAAACCTAGTTGAGGGACTAATG